TCCCCGCGTTGCACCTCGGCCGGCGATCCCCGGCGTCGGCCCGGGGACTCTCGAGGCCCGTCGCACGTCCGGCATGGTGGTCTGCAGCCTTCGCACGCAGCTCTTCTCTTGAGTCATCTTCCACGCACCGTGTGTGACCTGCTGCCTGCATGGTGATCGTCGTGACGGCGTACGAAGGTGCTTCGCCCACTGGCAGGCCCCAATACATCCCTGAGAGACAGAACAGGAGAACGGAGGAGTTTAACGCTGTAGTGGTGGCTCTCAGAGTGTTCCTCTTTCTTCGACTGAGAATAAACAGCCCTTAATAGACTTTGTTTTTTTAAAAAGGTAATATGAAGATGAGACTTATCATATCCAGCAAACATTATATTATCTCTCTATAGATACAGACACAGAGTCACATGGTGTCCTCTTCTCCCTCTGCTGTGTTGTAATCGCCAGCCTCCTCTGTGGTTTTGTTTCCATAGCCGGTCTGCTCCGACTGAAACTGCTGTTTTTATCCATCTACGTCTGTGAATTAAGGATTTATTTCCACCAAACCAGAGTTGGTGATTGTTGGAAACACTAACAGAGACGGTTTTAATGAGTTTTATTCTGTTTCTGTCCACTTTGAATGAAGTTACGATGTCACGATGCTCTGTATAAAAGGTAAAATTTTTGTTTTTGTGTGTAGTCTGGTGGCGAGCGAAAGTGAAAAGTGGAAGAACATCAGATAAAACGTCTGACTCATTTAATTATAAACCACATGAAGTAACCTGGTTGGTTAAACTTCTTTTTTCCGATAAATCTGGAATCCATATGTTTTTTCTAGTTCTTCTAAAACACATTTAAGTGATCTATAAGCTGTTATTAAACAACATATTCTGCTGCATGCTGTTTCATCACTGTCTCACCTGTAGCTCCAAAAGCATCCAGACACTCGAGCGGGTTCCTCTCCTCGGCCAGAACAGCCAGCGAGCAAAACACCAGCTGCCTAAAAACACACGAACAAATTCTGCTCAAATTGACGTTCATAATGATTTTTATTGTAAAGGGAAATCTGGACACATCTTTTTTTTTTTGTAAGAACTCGTCTCGCGTGTGTGCCGACCTGTTGGTCTTCATCTTGCGGTTGAAGTAGGTGTCGCTCTTCTGCGGGGTGGTGTGGTTCGGGAGGAGCTGGACGTTGGTTCCGAGCTCTTTCATGATTTCGTACGCCTGACCAGACGGAGCTGCGGACGCATTGAACACATTAAAGTCTCAAAGTCTCATCTGGAGGCTACAAATCTACGGAGCTCCCTTAGGGGACATGGGTGGGAAATTCTCTCTGGCTGCAGACAAATATCGGCAAGAGCAGCCACCTCAATGATCTCATTTGATCCAGCTGTGGACTCGCAGACGCTACAAATCACGCTCATTATCATTATTTGTTGGAGGCGAAGGCATACAAACAATCCAAAACATGCCACATGGTTACAGTGAAACACAAAAGACTGTAATGGGCTTTAAAACTACACAAAATAATAAACAAAAACAAGATAATATGCTGCTTATTTAAGATTCTTATAGTTAGTATAACAGATTACTTCACTCAATACAAGAAAATGTAATTATATTTAAGGATATTACTGCAGGACTGTAGGATCCAGTGTTTGTGAAGTTTAACCCAAACAAGGGACTGAAACTCTGCAAATATCCAGACCATCCTTATACATAAACATATCATATATACTCATATACATCGAGTGGAGCGTGTCTGCGTTTATTACCCGGCTCCTCAAACGTGACGTCGGAGCTGCCGGAGTAGCTGGCTTCAGTCTCTCCTTTGTTGACGTGTCGTTTCAGGTGGCTGATCATGTCCGTCTTACGGGCGATGGTGACAGAACACACGACGCAGTGGTAGTGAGCCACGTGTCTGCCCGATGCCTGCAGGGGGGTCATACAAAGAAATATCAGTGCCTGGAGCTACTCCACAGTCTCATGATGTGGCAGGAGTGAAGAAAACGTGTATCGCACAGGGACGTTTCCAGACTCTTTTGACTGGGGTGGCATAAGTGAGGCACTGACTCATGAAGTGGTGGCAGGAAGTCTGTGTCTCAGCCTTCCAGTCAGTCCCTATTTATGCGATTCCAACACTGTTTATGTCCAAAATCCACATAGAAAGTCACAATATCTGCCACATTTATCAGTAATCTGTGAATGTTTCCCTTTAAAATCTGTATCTGTTCTCAAAAGTCCCATATCGGTCGGGCTGAAGCCTTGTTCAGTCTGTGTGTCTCACCTGGTCTCCACTGAGGCTGGGCTTCAGGTTTCTGCAGGGCAGGTGGCAGATGCACATCCTCTGGCCTGCGAAAGGACAACAGTTATGTTGTTTGGATGAGGATTTGATGACTTCACATTCAGCCTTATTCACTGAGACCAAGAAACCAGCAGAATATATACGTTTGCAGCTCTGGATATCATTATTTATAGCTTTCTCTACTATCATATCTGGCTATAAGTATGTGGACTCTCCTGTCCATGCACTGCGAGGCTGTTCTCATGGTCTGGCCCCCAAAGCTATCACTACTACATCTACTCTAAAATCTATAAAATTGGCTAAATGAATGATAAATGTCCAAAGTTAGGTGTTAAACAGCAAAAGGAATTCAATTGTCAACAATGTAAAACTATTAAAAGAAGCATTTTTAAAGTTAGAACCAATAAATCTCTTAATATTTTTACTTTATAATTATAATATTATAAAAATCCTTATTTCTGTCCATCCACTCATTATTTCAACACTAATTTTGTCTGACAGTGTTTGCTGGATGCCAGAGAACACAAGTTTCCAAATCTTGACATTTGGTATGAATTTTGTCCACGTTTCTTTGAGTCGGAGTGAATCCCTGCAGCAGGTTCATAATCTGGTGGAAAGACTGAAACCAGACGAGTGTTTCTACCTTCAAACTCCACGTAGACTTTCCAGTGGAGGTTCTGCAGGTGTCGGCGGAGCTTGTGGCTGTAGCACGCTTTAAACTTCTCTTCGGGACACAGAGGACACGACTTGCGTCCCGCTGATGAGTCAAACACACACAAACATTATTCTCATTGTCAAAAGGTTTTATATACGAGATATAAACAGTAACATCTATTCTCTATATGAAGACACAGAGTCACATGGTGTCTTCTCCCTCTGCCTGTGTGTTATCGCAGCCTCTCTGTGGTTTGTTTCCATAGCCGGGTCTGCTCCGAACTGGAAACTGCTGTTTTTATCATCTACGTCGGTGAATTAAGGATTTATTTCCACCAAACCAGAGTTGGTGGTTGTTGGAAACACCAACAGAGACGGGTTTAAATGAGTTTTATTCTGTTTCTGTCCACTTTAATGAAGGTAAGGATGATCTATGAGGTACAATTTGTGTTTTTGTCTATGAAGTCTGGTGACTGGAACAAGAGTTGCATTTGATTTTTTGCTGAATTAAACATAAGAGAAGAAACTATTGTGCAAGTTTCACTTTCTCCTGAAATTTAATTGCAAAAATAAATGTGCTGTGAAATCAGCAACAGTAAGATCAAAACCTAAAAGGCAGAGGAAAACCCTAAGATGGCGACAGAAGAAAGTGAGGAAAGATTTTAGAGAAGAAACTTACCAACCGTTGAGGTCAACGAGCATCTCGAGGGCCCTCCAGTTTAGTGTGGATGGAGACGTGTCTCCTCTTGGTTGTAGAAAAGGAGAACTGTTTGTGAAGTCATAAAGCGTTTCTGTCGTTAAAGTCTGTGAATGCAGATGTATGAAGCTGATCGGTACACAGCTGTTATGTAATCACCAATAGTCGTGGTTGAGGGGTTTGGCATCGCTGTCTGCCGCGGGCTTCATCCTTCGCCGCCTGTTCTGCAGCCGGGTCACCAGCCGAAGGTGAATCTGCCACCGTCTCCACCTTCAGGACGAAACCGTGGTTTAGTAAAATGACGATTATCAGCAGGATTATAATTTTAAAATACAGAATATACTTTACAATATACTGTAATTGTTTAATAGAATCAATGACCAAGGACAAGAAAACATTGAAATTGCCAAAAAAGAAGCGTATTAAGTCTGTGTGATTGGCTGTATTCTGTATTTTTAACAGAGAATTAAATAAAAAGTTCCCTAAAAGGAAATATTCTGCTCAAAATTTCATCTAATTCACTAATTTTACACAATCTTCCTGCCGTTCACTGTTTGTGTTCATTGTACAGTTTTGAATTTAATATTGAAATATCCATAAAATATGTAAGTTAGTTTACTAAATGATAGAAAAGTACATATACACTATACATAAATAAACTGAGCCGAGGATGCTTTATTGTACTTTCCATTTTTCTTTCCTAATCTTACTTTCTTGTGTTGTCGTTAAAGAGTAAAAGTAATCTCATTGATATTAACT